AACATCTACTTCATTTTCCTGTATATCTCATAGTTTCTCCATCCCTGTTTCAGCTGAGAGACACAAAGCTATGTTTTTGTACATGGGTCAGGAAAAGAGGTACAAGGACAGAGAGGGTGACATTTTCTCCCTCTACATTTAGGTGTGGGTACATGGTGAACACAGAAGTCCTGGTCTGACAAGCATTCTGACCAGCACCTGGTCAAAGTATGCTCTAACGCCTGCCTAGGAAGTGCCATGTGTTACTTCTGCATGAAAACCCAGGTGCACCAGAGGAATTAACAGTCTGGCAGGCACCCAAGCAGAAGGGGAGTTAAGCACAGTGATGTTAAGCCACAGCCAAAGTTTATCCATCCCACCTTAACTAGGAAGTCCTTCTCACATCTCTCTCTATAAATGCAACTTCTGCGCACTTACAGAAAGAGATTACCCACCCTACACATTCCCATTACACAATCTTCATCCAAAGGTCCATCTAAGCAAGCCTCACACCTGGTGGGAGCCTATAGCAGATGCCTATGGAAGCTATCAAGGCAAAACAAGACTCAGCCTTCAGAAACCTCTGGTGCAGGCATTTCCTATTCTAGTGTCGATGTCTGTGAACATAATAGCACAGGGGAAGGTTTAGATTGGATATTAAGAAAAATTTCTTCACTGAAAAGGTCAAGCATTGGAACAGGCTGCTCAGGGAAATGGTGGAATCACCGTCTCTGGAAGTGTTAAAAAAAATGTGTAGGTGTGATGCTTAGGGACATGTGTTTAGTGGTGGACCTTAGAATGTTGGGTTAATGGCTGGACTCAACGATCTTGGAGGGTTTTTTTTCCAACCTTAATGGTTCTATACATTCATCTCCCATGAATCCATCCAAGTCTTTTTGGACTACATGCAAACTTTTACTGTCTTTAGCAAACGTTTTATGTGCAAAGATTCATTGCCATGAGCCCCTCTTCCCCAGTGCTAAATAGAAAATTCCCCACAAAGTATAGTACAAAAACATTTTAAAAAAAAAAAAAGTGTGAAAACCACAGTACGCGGAAGTCCTGACAGGCAGTGCATGCTCTGAGGGTTTTCGCATGGAAAGCAAACAGCAGTGACCGCAGTTCTGGGCTGCAAGGGGAGCCCAGGACATGCTGTGCCTCCTGCCATCCCGTGCGTCCTGGGATGAGCAATGCAGGGAGGTAACACGTGACATCGCAGCTGGAGGAGACTGTAGGCAAAATACACTCAGGAGAAGGAAACAGAAAAAGAGAAAGACGGGAAGGGGAAAGGAGAAAGAAAGCGGAAGGCAGGACCTCACGGAGGACGGGAAGCGCAGGGCCCGCCCCACGCCGGGGCACAGCGGCGCCGCCACGGCCGAGCGCGCGCCGCGCCCGGCGCTTTGGCGCCCCCTGGCGGCTGTCCCCGCGATGCGCCCGCGGCCCTGAGCGCAGTCCCGGCCCTGCTGGGGTCTGGAAGCACCCGGGATTCGGGTCCCGGGCAGGGGACAAAAGGGGTGTACCTGAAACAACCCTGTCAGTTTTGAATGGTTGTTATAACAAAGCTTTTCTGGACTCAAAGCCGAGTCTGATATTTGCTTCTGAGAGCTTGTCTTTGTTAGGCAGCCTTGCCTGTGAGCCCCTGCCAAGGACAGCCGCTGCAACCGCAAACCCCGAAACTGTCCGACCAGATAAGGCTGGGGAAAAGCTGAGGCAGTGGAGGAAAACACGTGGAAAATAAATGGTTGGGAGCGTCTTTGATACTGGTCTTAGCAGCCTTCTGTCTCACTGAAAGTTGCATTTGAAATGTACATTAGTACATAGGTTTGTCTGCACGTGTGTGATTTTTACACGCACACACACACACGCACACACACAGAGAAATTGAAAATTTGAAATGATGGAGCAAAAAAGCTTTCTGTAATGAAAGGACCATTCCTTTCTTCATGTGAATTGTATCTTTGGACAGTCCTGCAGAATACAGTGTCATTTGCACTGTTTGGTATAAGAAGTATTCATTAGAGCATGTTGTACAGTAACAACTTAACTTCTGGTCAATTGATATAGACCATGTCAGCAAAACCTGTGTCCGCTGAAAGCCAAGGATGCCTTCCTTTCCTCAATTTTAACTCATTTTACAATGAGCTGCAAAATGAAGTGCAGCCTGTCTTTATGGATTAGAACAACTGGCAGATCAATACCTAGCCTGGAAATATGTATGCAGGTTTCCAGTACCCCTTTTGTAAATAATTTACTTTCTCTTTGCAGCCATGCCAACAGAAATCCCACAAAGCACCCCTTCCATGCCAATGGATTGTCTCTGCTGGCTTTTGGGTTGACAATGGGACAATGCAGGGCATGCTCCAGGGGGAGCGGTGCAAAACAAAACTAAAGTCCCCAGAAAGGTTTCTTGTGACCAGAAAGGTCAAATGATTAAATAATTTGAATTCACCAAACTGAGACTTACAAATTAAAGATATACTATGGGGAAAAGAAAACGAAAGAAATGCAGTTTCATAACATCAGAGATTGCATGTCCTGTAAATACAATTTCTCATAGCTTAGAGTATCATTCCTGGAGTAGATATTAAGAGCATTTAAACCAAGATACTCTTTATTTGAAACACTCAATCAGTTTCTCTTAATATGGTACACCCTACATGTTCCTTCTTTGTATTATAGTCGAAATAAGACTGTTTGGGCAATGACCAACTGATTACTGGTCATAAATATATGGCCGCAAAAATCTTATGTGTGGTAGTTGGGAACCATCAGCTGTAAATATGGAACATAGGCCTCTGAAACAGTTTAATATTCTTGTAAATTCTCTGTGTTTAAGTAAAAATTTGTTTTCACAGTTGTTTTAGTGGAAATGAAATGAACCTTTGAAGACAGTAGCCATCTATCACATGGAAAATGTTCTGTTGTCATTGCTGTATTTCAGATTTGAATAGGCAAGCTGCCAACTAATCTCTAGCACTCTGATTTTCTAAGCACATGCTAAATTTTAAAACAAAACTCGACTAAACCAACACTCACATTTCAGAACATCCAAATGATAATAAAACTAAGAGATTCCTATGCTCAACAGCTTTTCATAGAAACCTCCATGAAAGGAAATAAAATCATTAAACTATATTAAATTATATTATTATCTAATTACTTGGCTTGGTGCCACAGAAGCATTTAGTGTGATCATGACTAGTAGATAAAAAAGAATTAAAGCATTATCCATCTTTTGATTGAGAATATTACATTGAAAACTCATACCTGGAAGATTTCTAGGAGTTAAAACCTGACTAGTATTTGCAATTTGGACTTCATCCTGTTTGCAGTTAATGCTGCAGATCCAGCTCTCACAGCACAACAAAGACACAAGTCAAGCCTGGGGCAAAATAAATTCATTTTATCTACAAAGCCACAGAGAACATAGTGTCTACCTGCAACCTTGCTAGTAGAGCAGTACCTAATGGTATTAAAGCATATGTATTGAGTTTAAAGCCAGTGTCTGCAAACAGTCTTGGAAATGTTTTTATCTTTCAAGGAACAGTAAAATTCAAAACCTCACCCCACCACTGACATTGTGAATTCAATTCATTTTTTGTATAGGTTTTCAATTTGACTTGACTTAAAGATGCAATGCTTATTTGCAAGATGATCCTTCAAGATTTAGTTACTTTTCCAGGCCCATCCCCACTGCGATTACTTCCTGCCAGCTAACCTAACCAATGATGGCAAAGAGGAGATTAAACCTGATAATTAATCGCGGTAGTATCTGCCAGCACACATCTGCAATCTTCACTTGTCACCTTCATTTTTAATCAGGGATTCTAATTAAGCCACAAGCAGCCTCAGGGTGTCAGTAGAATATAGCTCTATGCATCCAGAATTCCTACTTAGACTCTTCCTTTCTGCTTGCAGGCTCGGACCTGGTTGTCAGAACAGGGGCCCCACCATCAAAGTTTGAGGCTTTCATTAAAGCCATTAAATTTTCATGAAATTTAGCCAGTGGCATTCTCCAGTAGGATTGTTGTACTGCAGCCTGAGGACTCTTTCTGACATAAGAGCCCTAATAGCATGACACCATCCAGGCTTGCAGCCAGGATTAATACTCTTTTTAAGTTCTAATGCCTGTTAATCTTGGTGCAGAAGCTCTTTCATTTTAGTATCTACCTTTATAGGTCTGCTGGGTCCATGTTGCCATTCAAAAAGATTGCATTCCTAATAAATATGGAGTGAGAGGGAGGGCTAAACAGGGTTTACATACAATCTCTTCACCTCTAATTTCAAAGACTAAAGTGTCTGACAACAAAATCACCCCACGCTCAGAAAATTCAGTCTCCCCCAAGAGCAGGACATATCCCCTTTCTCATAATCCCTCTACAGAGCCTGTGATATTTTTCTTCAAGCTACTTCCTACCCTGTTTGTCTTGCAGCCCCTCTCCCCCGATAAGGATAGTCCCCAATTTCTCTCTAGCAGAGAGAAGCCTTCTGCTTTTAGCAACTTTTTACATCCGACTGTTAAAGACTAGTACTAAAGCACAGAATAAAAGAGGAATGTTTTCTCTCTCTTAAGCTTGTAACATACCCTATGAAAAGCTTCATTTCCTCCTATAGCTATGTATATCTTTGGGAAGAAGTTCTAAACCACTGAGGTTCTGAACTGATGATGATTTCTGCTCACTGTATTAATGTTTGGCCTAAATAAAAAATAGCAAAGGGGAAACTCAGAGTTTTTAACTGTTTTCATTCCACGTGCTACTACAGAGTTGATCTACTGAAACTGAAGCAAAGATGAGAAATAACATGCCTAGCTGCTGCAGATTAGATGCCAGGTTCCAGAAACACTGCTGTACTGACAAAAGTCACATTTTTACTGATATTATTTTATTTTTACTGACAGAAATTCAAAGAATTAACCATTTTAAATGTACTTATACAACTTAAATTGGTTTTGTTCATTACCATATGATCATTCACAAAGTGAATTACAATCAGAATGAAAAACATAAGATCAGGCCCATATATCCAAAAATTTAAATTCCAAAGCTATGCCTTTTCTTTAAAAAAAGTTTTTAATTCATAGTGAACTGTAAAATAGACAATGGTAGAGTAAAAATTGGATTATGAAACATATTGACTGTGCAAATTAAATACAAAATAGACCACAGTTCTTGAATCTCAGTATCAACCTTACTTGTATAAAAATCAGGACCTGAGGGTATAGTGAACTCTATATATACATTGCAACAATTTTTAACTTGACTGATAAAGAATATAAAAAGGAGAGCTGATTCTGAAAAATTAACCTAAGGTGAAGAAAAGATATTTTTCCAAAATATTATGATGGAAATGGCAGGTACATAGGTTTTTAAAAGAAAATTTGCTGCAATTTCTTAGAAATTCAGATATGCAGAGAGCATAGAAAAAGTACATTCAGAGGTCATCATTACACTTCTTTTTATAATTTTTTTCTGCTGGTTCTGAGATTGCCTAAGAGTAAATAAAATTGAAAGTTGAATAAAAGCTGACAAGAACTAAGCTTAATCCTTTTTCTGAAAACCCAGTTCTTTTTAGGACCTTCTTACTCAAACAGGAGCACTACAAATGCTGACATTTCCCAATAAAAATTAGTAACTGTATTGTAGAAATCCCTAATAAAGTTTTGACTGAACTCTTCAAGTGAAGATGAAAGGTATTTATGATTGCAATGATAGATTATTCCACATAATTGCCAGAAGAGATATATTTCTAATGGAAATATGGATAATAGGTTCTCCGAATTTTCATTGAAACTGATTTAATTTTGACTGGTTTATTCTTCATTTTCCATGTATCCCAGTGAATCCCAGTTGCAAGAAATCTACCTGTGTAGCGATGAACACCATTAAGATTTGCAAGGCCACACTTGCTGAACCACCATCCAGTGCTATCACTGAAGTTACTGCAGCTCTTTACAAGCTGTTCTTTAATAGTGCATACTGGTCTGCATCCATCATTATCAACATCAAAAGTGCTGAAAGGCATTGAGTTCTGGTTATCTTCTTTTCTATATCCTCTAAATGCATCACCTAAGCACAACAGATAGAACAGAAGGATAAAAAAATTATTTATGGAAGAACATTTCTTACTTGTTGCATATCTCACAAACTTTTTCTCTGAATTTATTAGAAAAATAGAATTCTTCAAAAACATTTCAAGAGCACCAGATAATGAGCAAGCAAAGTGTTAAAAATGAAGGAAAGAAAAAGAATAAAATACTGAGAAATATGGAAGAAGTTGAAATTCAATGAAACAACATCTTTATATTGTTGTTGCTTTTAGCAGTGCATACTGGCTAGGAAGGTAAAGGCTTCTGTCCTCAAAGACAGAGGAAGAAAAGATAAAGGAAACAAAAAGGGTTGTAATTTAAGATTTTCCAGTAATGCGTCCAAAGTCCCAGAGAGACTAATGAGAAAAGACGGAATTTTAAAACTCAAAGGTCAGTGATTATTGGCTCTGTTGTCTTACTAAAGAAATACAAATACACTGTCTTACAAATACAGGTAGAGTAAAGCACCAACACCTTTAGAGAATAGCTATTTCATTGGTAATAAGGAACATTCTTGCATATTACTAAACATGTGAAAAAAAAAAAGAGAAAAAAAGCAGTAAGACATGAAATATTTAATGAAAGCCTTTGCACACTTAGCTATTAAGAGAGGTCTGAAATTGTAAATTAATTTGTGTCTATGTAGCACCCAGTAACTGTTACACACTGTAGACCAACTTTGTTCACTCAGTTTCTTTCTCTACCCTTTGTGCATGACTGTCTGGGCACTTCTGAATTAACCAAAGCATCATCAGGAAGACTTCCACTAACATCAGCAAATCTGAGATGAGATAATAGACATATAAAGAACTGTACCATTAGATAGATAAACACTAACACCTAAAAAATCCCTTATTTGTTATATATATATCCTATGGACTTGAATCTGTTAAAGATCCTTCCTTAATTCATCTTTATTAAAGAAGAGTTTATTCAGTTACTCCATTAAGGACATTGAAGTGATAAAGTGATTTCCTACTATGTAAAGATTAATGTTGGCATAACCAAAATTGCTATATCATCACCATTTATCTGCATAAATGTTCACTATGCGCCAGAGAAAAACACATTATAAATAATTTTTTAAAAGTTATCTTAATTATTACTCTTTTGAATGCATTTTTTCATATTAAGAAAGGGACGAGCTACTTTTAAATACTTTAAAGAAGGAAGTTCTTACCAGCATTTCCTGAATAATGCCCCAAATGGATCTTAAAAGAACATGCTTCATCTTCTATCCAGAATCCATCATATGATGCATAGGCATGCTTGTCATTTTCTGATTCCAAGTCCACATAAAGATTGAAACTAGTGGCTTTTTGATTTACTATGTCAAAAATCTTCCTTAGTCCAAGCCAAAATTCCCCTTAAACAGAAATATAATATATAGTCTAGAAATGGAAACTGTAAAAGAAAAAATTATTGTTCTTTCTTTTCTACTTTTCTTCCTGAACCAAATGTAATAAAAGTTGTATGATAGGCTTATATTCCTTTAAAAGACTAATGAAGGAACAGAGTAATTTTCCTACTTCCTTAGGAAATCCATGGAAAGAATTCAATGTGGGCATCACCTTTTTTCTCTATGGTACTTTTTAGAAAATTGTCCACATGATAGATTTCAAACATTCGTCTGCAATATATCTTAGGAAACCACAAAAAAAATGGATGTGCTAAAGATCCACTTGCAAAAACGGAGTTCAGCATTCCTAAGGGCAGTACTGAGAAATGATGAATGTTAGCATTCTATGAAACACAACAAAACACAGACCCTATTCTCAGGATTTGCTGCCTCCGTAAATCGCACTTGTTGCCCCATATGAGCTGTGCTTTTTTGTACAGAAAACCTGTATGCTTCCATTGCAATCCCAGATAAACTTCTGATAAAGCAAATGGGTTTAGACTTGCTGGATGAAAGGTGGAAATAAAAAATTATTATCACAATTGTGTTGTTATTAGCTATTGAAATATTTCCATTCTGTTTCTAACTTTGCTTGTCCTATGGTGAAATATTACTGGTTTTTCTCTCCTTTAAGGAAATATTTTGCAAATGTGATTCAAAACAACTATTTGGTTTGAATAGGCTATTTTTTTTTTAATCTGAAAAGAGAGCAAATACAATCTATATATTATTTCAGGTAGAAAATATCATATTTTAAACACCTCCTCTGAGACAGCAATGGCTGAAGACTCTAGCGGGGTCACAGTCATTACTGAGAAGATCATACAACAGATTTGATTAAAAAAATACTTATGTAAAAATAAGACTTAAGAAACAAGAACTTTATACTACTAAAACTCCTACAAAATTTGGTGGAATGTTGCTCACATAGAGGCAGCAGAAATGTAGGATACGAAGCACTTTAGAGTATTTAAAATTAATACCAGTAAGATCACCAAATCCATCCAGATATTCAGACCATGTTCTCTGGAATGGAATGATTCCATCAGTTCTTTTCTGAACCACAGTCCATCCACCTCCTTGAAAATCCATGTCACAAAAAACCTAAAAATAGACATAGATGTGACTTCAGAATTCAGATTCAGATTTCAAGCATTCTTGAAGGAGCTGTTATGAAGAAAACATTTTAATTAAATAAAGGTGAGCCCAAGATGGAGCAGGGTCCTGGCAGAGACCTGCAGCCCGTGGAGAGGGCAGCCCACACTGGAGCAGGTTTTTCCCAGGTACGATTTGTGGCCCCTGTGGGGGACCCATGTGGGTACAGCTCATTCATGAAGGACTGCACCCCATGGAGGAGTGACCCACGGGACAGAAGTTTGGGAAGAACTGCTGCCTGAGGGATGGACTCACGATGGAGAGGTCCATCAAGGACTGTCTCCAGTGGGAGGGACCCCACGGGAGCAGGGGAAGGACTCCTCTCTCTGAGCAGTGACAGAAACAACAACTGACTGTAAACTCCATTCCCCACCCCTCTGCACCACTGAGGAGGAGGAGGGAATACACGGAAGGAAGGGGGGGGGAAGGTGGTTTTAAGACTGTTTTGTTTCTCACTCTTTTAGACACTACACCACCTAATTTGTTCAAAGTAATTCTAGGGATACTATACATAATGAGTGTTTAAAAACAGATGTTCATTGGTAAGTGCCTCCCAATGTGATTAATATCAGGAGAATTAACCTGGAAAATGCTTATAGCTATGGAGCTACTTGTGATAACAAAAGTAAGTTCAGAATATAATGTTGGCTGTCATAACATTAAGCAGATGCACAAGTGATGGAGTAAAGCAATTTTTGTTGATGTTACAGGGAAAGTACACAATGAAACATATTTCAGAAAAGAGAGATTTGCAATCTTAGCCAGTTGATAAAAGTAGAATCTAGGTGTAATTCAGTTTAACCCTCAGCAAAATTTGTGGCAGCCTGAGTGTTATATGTTCCCCCCCATTGCCTGTACTAGCCAGATATTTTTCACGAAACCAGACTTGTTCCTTGGCAGGAACGCATCAACATCATATTCAGAGCCTCTCAATGAACACCAAGAAAGCAACAGGACAGAGCTGCAATGTGGTCTAATATAACCTGGGGAATCTTAGATCTTCAAGTAAGCCAATGCCATTGGATGCTTTGGGCAATCCTTTCAACACAAATACTAAATGAATCATAGTAAGGGTCATGTGCACGAAAGAAACTTGTGGGCTTTATTCCCTGGAGAATCACGTGCTTATTTCAGTCACCCAGGGAGGGTGGAACAGGAATAAAAAGAAATACAGAAGATTCCAAAATGAATATTTAAATGTGAATACCTAAAAGTCATTCAAAATAATCCCATTGCCTCATCTGCTGTCTTGAGAAGATGAGTGCATGCTTGGCTACTCCTCTGACTATGAGTCAGAAATACTAAGAGGAGCCCACTTGATCACAACAGCAATCTTCAGTCCAGTATAACTCAGTGGGAGTGTTGATAATTCTCAGAAGGAGCAGATTTGGTTCTACATGAGAGGTCATCAGCCAATTAAATACAGCACCAATACAAACAGCAGCTAAGTAAAATATGAGATAGATTAGAGAGAGAGAGAGAGAGAGAGAGAGAGAGAAATACAGTCATAGCTGTGTAGTTTCTTAATTCCTTATAGGCTAGAAATGTTGCAATTAAAAAGCCTTAGAAGACTTTACAGTTTACTCTATGTCTCATATCATGCAAGGTATGAGGGGCATGATTGTGCCAGGTGCAAATTAAATTAAATGAGCAGGAGAATGTTTCCATTGAATATTTCTCCTCTTTCCATCTTCAGTGTGCATGAGGTATATTCCAAACAACTGTTTAGTTTGTCTGATCCACCTTACAAATATCATTGATCTAATTTCACTAATTGAAAAATGTATCAGAAATTGATCATGATTAATTTTTCCAAAAGTGAAATTGGTTTTAATTGCCTCATGTTTAAATGCTCAGACAAAAGCCCATTTGGAATTAACTTTCTGAGATGCCAAAAACCTGCCAATACCACTGAAACTGGATATTTTTATTGCTCCTGGAATTCAGGTTTCAATTAGCCCAAGATAAGCATCAAAAACTATACTCACTTTTGACAATATGAGGTTTTAAACACGAAAACATGAGAATAGGATCAAGTTGTTTAATATTTGTTTTCTTCATTAAACTGGTATCTTCATGCAAATGATTCTGAACACATTTTCATTTAGTTTCCATTACATTAAAAGGGCAGCTTATTGCTGAAAAGGTCCTCATTGAAATAAATTGTTTATATCAGAATTCTTGGCTATTAGCCTCTAAAAATGCATTATAATTTCTTATTTATGTTTTAATGTTTTAATGTCTTGATATTTTTGTTCATTTATCATTTCCTCTACCTTTTTTATGCTTCCACACATGAAAGAATTTGCATAAAATAGTTTTCCTTAAAATAACATTCTTTATAGAACACATATTTTACATACTTTTCTCTGACAACTTTTTGGCCCTGTCTTTTAAGTTCTGTGCAACATCTACCAGACAAGAAATGAGACACTCATTTCATGACTGCAGATATTCTTCTCATTATTTATTTTTACCTTTTTCTTTTAATCAAATTATTATGATTTTTCTTTTTTGTTTCTTGTACTCCTTAAAGAACCTTTCCACTCATATAACTGATTTTCAGATTCTGGAAGTACCTTTAAATGTGGAAAAGTGGCAAAAATATTTTGAATGAAAAGAAATTTTATCATTTCAGATTTATTTGTCAAAACCTAAAAGTAAACTGAGAAATCACTTTTCTCACATAATTATACATCTCTCGAGACAAGTGATTTGGGTAAGGTATGAATATTTCCTCAATGGAATCCCGCTCAATCTAAAAGAAATTCTGAAACAAATGCACTTTTTGGTATGGTTCATCCTGGGGTGAGGCAGACAGCATTTTCTTTATACTATAAATATGGTTGTTCCGTGAACACTGCAACATGTCTCTGCATTTCTTTTACATGGGAGGAACTTGCTGATGAGTTACAGACTGTTTTCCTGAGCTGACTGCATTGTAGAGAGAGAATGACAGGTTTTTGTATCGGGGGTTGCAGTCCATTTTTTTTTTTTTTGATATCCCAGCATAATTCTGAAGCCTTTTCTTAATCAGTTTGATCTCCTTTTTTGTAGCATTTTGAAGGGTTCCAATTGGCTAGAGGTAAAGGGATTCATCCTTCCTTTGTTATATATAAAAGAAGACTATAAAGTTAGATGTTAAACTTTGCTATTTATTAGTTGACCTAAATGTCATGTTTCTGTTTCAAAAGCTAATGAATCCAGCATGTACTGCAAAGTTAAGGGTTTGAAAGTGCCATATCTGCTTTTCCACTATACATAAGGCCTTCTCTAGGTAGAACAGCCTGAAACAGAAATAAAGACATAAAACAAAATATTCCTTGTGTTTGCATGGATGTGAATGTCCTGAGTCTGAGGAAATTAACCCAAAATTCTCTTCTAGATGAACACCATAACTCACAGCAATAACATAAAGTGCAGGTGGTGATAGGAAGCATGATTGCTGCAGTTTGTCTTAAGAATATATATCCTGCAAAATGGATATAAAACTAAAATTTTAGATGCCTCTCTGCCTCAAGACTGGGTTATAATGATACTCAGAGAAGAGCTAAGCACCTGCTCCTCACACTAACATACATCTGCCCCTATATTTAGATGCTTATAGGCATTGGAGTCACACCACAAAAGAAGGCAATGCTATACAGCAGAATAATTCAAAAAGCCAAAAGTCCTATTGTAGAAGCCAAATGGATCAGTCAATTGGCTCTTCAGCTTTCCATCTCTAATACAGAAAAGAACAGCACTTGTAAATGTCCAAAAGGGGTGCTGGAAAGTACCTTGGGTTTTCCTCTTTGGTACAGTTTTCACTGCATATGAAAAATGACAACAGGCTCGTATGACAGAGATTAAATTTCTTTGTAAAACATGAGAAACTTGTCAAAATTATAGTAACAGCAGACACATGCAGAGGATTTACTACATTTCTTATTCATCCGTTGAGAAACTGTCAAGGAAAACACCTTAAATCTAATAAAAATATTCTAAGTGCATATTCTCAAGCAAATTGTGATTATCCTGAGAGATAAATGTATTACCTCAAAAGGATAATTTGATCCTTCTGGATGGATAATGTACAGACCAGATGGAGTTTTTGAAACTGAACCAGTGGTATCTTTAATATGAGTGCAGTCCAAACCTAGAGAAAAAAAATATTTGATGAAATTCATTAGCAAAATGTATTTTTTTAAAAATACAGATCAAGCACAGAAATATTACTATTCTTGGTAACATATGAATGATTTAAAATAGCATTTTTTTCTCATGCAAGTTTTAAAATCATATTTTGTCACGAAATTATCTTGTAAATTCAAATTCTCTGATCTCCATTAAGCTCATAAGTAAGTATAAATTACACTGCATACAGAAAGTTCTTTCTAATCTTAATAGATATGATACAGAAATTAAAGAGTATGTATCTGGGTAATTTTACAAATGTTTACATTTTATTTATAACATTTTACATTTTATTTATAACACTTGTACTGAGAAAAAGACATATTCTCTGGGAAATTGTATCTTTTTCCTACAGACACTTGTATTTATACTTGTAAAAGCCTTTTCATCATAATGTATACACGAAAAACCATTTGTCTCTAAGTGTTAAGCCGGGTACATGTTAAATATACTCAAAGAAGCAGTTTCCACAACCAGCATGGCTGCTTAGACATAATGTTTCCTTTAGTTTGGATGGACACTACAAAGAAGATCAACTGTCCAGTGAACAGTTGACTTACATCCTATTTGAAGAAGGATATTGCAGATGCAGAGTACACTTTATTTCATTGCAAACGAACATGCCATTTAGCAACATTAGATTACTTACTAACAGATAATCATACCTGGTATTTTGCATAAAAATCAACAACAATTCCAGGATGCCTGGAATTGTCAATTACAAATTATTTAAAGCAGTATTTATGACAACAATTTTAAACAGTTCATAAAGTTTCCAGAGTTTTTATACTACTAACACGGGATAAATGTCGATGTTACAATTCCTTACTTTTGCTTTAATTAGTTTCTTGTCAAGATACAAAAGTAAAAAGGGAAGGTGTCAAGACTATATCTGAAAAATATTTACCATGAGATTGAACTGCTTTGTAAGGAAGTGGATCCAGATGCTTTCTCAAAACTACTGCATTCAAAAGAACAAGTTTGTTCTTGAGTTCATTTACCTGCAAATTCAAATAAAAGATCTTTAATTAGGTTGCAATGAGGAATTTTACATTCTAAAGATATTTTTTTTTACTCCTAGTAAATATAATCTGAAGTTTGTTTTTGTGATGTGTTAGTAAATTGTACCTTTATTAGGCAAATCGATCTTCTTTTTTACTTTTTTCATCCAAAATCTTTTTTAGGCACAATTCCGGCTGATTCAAAAAAAAGTCCTTCAGTTTGATTAAAGCTTTTTATCTGTATTGAGTGATGCAAAGTGCTTGTAAAATACTATCAGAGCTAACAATAGTGTAATATGTCATCTGCACAAATACAACAGGACTGGAGATGGCAACTAATGGGAAGGAATAGTCCTCCACTTATGCAACTGCCATGTATGACACTATGTTGTAAAACAAGTGGTGCTTATCACTCCTTGTAAAAATGGAACTCACATCTTACCCAAGGTACAAGGAATGGTGATAGGGTCTCTAATTCTACTGGTTTAATGACAATAATAATACTTATTTTTTCCTCAGATAAACACCACCTGTAGTGAGAAATAACAAATACAAACGTTAATGATAAAGAAAAAAGTACCTGACTAGAAAGGTAGTCCAAAGAAGACTGTTGATCATCCATCATGTCTCTTACCAGTTTTTGCGTACTTCTTGCATATTCAACAAGAGAGTCCTGCAAATTTCCTTCAAAAGAAATACGTTCATCCACTTTGTTATCATAAATCTAGAATTATTCTTGACCGAATGACAACACACTTATTTATGATATCTATGCAAATAGTGAAGGTGTTTTACCTTATGGCACCTGAAAGTGAAATGAAAGTAGTACAGAGACCACAGACTAAAGCCAAAGATGCTAAAAACTTCAGACTCATTAATTGCAGTAAAGACATCTTAAGAAGTGATGGCTCTTCTTATGTTTTGAAGAAGAATTTCATCTTATCCTTGGGCAAATTGGATGACCAGTTAATGGATATCACACAAATATAAATGCAAATGATAAAAGACAGATATATAACATTTCCTATCATCCTACATTTGCTCATTCACTGTGCTACTTCTGTTTTTTGCCCTAATGCTAAAAATAAAATCATCATCATCGTCATCTGGACAGATAATTAATAATATATACTAAAAAATCATATGTGAAAACCAAGAATTTATACAGTTGTTTTCTGAGGCTGATTATATCACTTGCTGTGTAGTTTATCAAGGTAGTGATAGAGAGTGCCCTGTGTATGCATGTATAAAAGGTAAACTGAAGTACAGATTTACTCCCATGTAACTAACTAAATAACAAACTAACTGGCTAACTCCCACTTAACATCCCCACACCTAGCTATGATGTTTAAATGAGGGACAGACATCCTGCTCTTCCTCCCTAATGGAGATAGATACTGACGTTCAGAAGGTAACACAGACCTAGATGAGCTGTGCTGCTGCTTAGATTTGTCTGTCTTCACCCATGATTATACTTTAACTTTGCCACACCAACTGCATCCCAAAAAAAAGGGCACCCCAAATTTTCTGAACAATACTCAGAATTTGGGCAGCAGGGTCAAAGGCTGCCACATGTGCTCAAGAAGATTAAAAGATAAATTGGTACAGAATAACATAGCATAGCAGAGGATTGCATAGCATGACATCGCATAGCTCATCACTAAAAGTATTTTTTATGAGTACATACTGCACATGTAATGTTTTTCCCCTCGTAAAATTTTAGCTTCAGCATCACATGGTACAAGGCATGGTTCTTTTTGTTTTGAAATGTCTGCAGATTTATTTTTCTCTTCTGCCTTGAGTGGTCCCTCCACAGCTCCAACATTCCTTGTGTCCTGTTGTACCAAAAAATGTAGGGGGAAATAAATTGATCATAAAGCATATATAAAATAGCTCCTCCCGTCAAAATGAAGTAGGTTGCTCCACAGATCTTCCTTCAAAACCTCTTTCTTTAAAGCTTGGTCAAGCTATAATTGACAAAGCTGAGGCCAAAACCGATTAGATGTTTTCTGCTTAGCCATACCTCACAAGAAAAAGATAGTGTCAGGGGTAAAGAATAACCTCTATAAATCCAAAAAATACCACCAACATTTCTGGTGAGGTATTCTGCCTGTGAGCACTGTGAACCAGAAGCAAGAACGTGAAAATCTTGCAATTCAGAAGCTCACATTTTAGAAATCACCACACCCAACAAACATCTCAAATGTTGACAGAGTATTTTCACCGGAAAGGAGCAGGCTTTTGGATTTACCAGATATTAGCAAAATACTTTTACTCTTGAAAATCCCTAAATTATTTATTCAGACACTGATCAGGGAAATACTTGCATAAGTTATTAACCTATGCATTTAAGAAGTCCCAAGCAGATTTAAAGACAAACTCAGCATTACAAAAAAAGCATTTTAAATGTTCTTATAGAGGAAAGAATAAAGAGACAGTATTCATGGGCACACAATTATGTGAAATAGTAAGAAAAATAGCATTAGTAGAAGTAGTTACACCTATTAATGTTATTTAAAATAATATTTTCCTGTTTAATAGTTTTTATTCTATGGTGTCATGTGACATAAAATAAGGGAGTGCCTCTGAGTCATCACTTCAAGAAATGCTAAAAGTAATTCCTGAAATATGTGTCACTGACAAAAGACTAAACAACATATTTTCATGAGAGTCTTTGTTTTGTTGATTCCATAATCTCAGCAAACCATTTGCAGTATGTTCATATGATGTATTTTCAAATTAAATAGGATTCTTAGACATTTCAAGATTTTAATGAAGAAGAAAGCTTATTTGGACTTGAATATATCTTCAACATAGTTGTTCTTTCCTGCTTCAGTTTTTTCTTCCTGGTATTGGCACTGCCCTGGCAAAGCACTTAACAGGTTTTTCTCCTGATTTTTGCTTTTAAAAAGTAAAACTAAAAATTACATAAAACTCTTAACAAGGAGATTTTACAAAAAGGGTTTCCGAATTACTAGTATAATTACATTTTGTGCCTGGAAATAAATGGTAGAAAAGTAAAAGAATATGTTTCTTTAATTTTGAAATAAGCACAAAGTAAAGGAGGAAAAATTATGTAAGAGTTATAAACAGATCACTTGAAATTTATAAATAGATCACTTGAAACGATGGCTTGTTCCAGGACATTATCACAGCTACTCACCAGATGTTCAATTAAATACTCTCAAGCAAATATTTTTAATCAATATTTATCTTTAACAAAAGCCAACATGAAACAAGTGATTAAGTGTGAACTCAGCAATTCAGGCAAAAACTGTGACTCTGCCAAAAACAATAGTTACTCTTCATTTAGAGTCATGCAGATGAGATTAAAAATATGACCTAACAAATATGATGAGATTAAAAATATGAGTTGTGATAAAAGACATTAACACAAAAATGTTCTAATATCCTGAAGTCCTACGATTTCAATGTAGTTTCTTTCCTGAATCTGAAAATACCTGATTCTTCTGTATTTTCGTATCTATCCTGAATAAGGCACTCTACATCTTTAAAACATCTGTCACTTTTCTGAGAAATCATTCAGTTACATTCATTATCTTTTCTAAGCAAAGTAATTGAAAATCTTACCTTACATGCACAGTGCTTTCCATTACTTATGACAGTCTCTCCTAAACTGAACAAAAAAATATTAAGACAAATCAGTGAAGTTACCCTAAACTGGTAGTTCATCTTTTACTTGAAGAAATGCAAATGTTTTAAACGGGTTTCAAATTTCTGTGGAAAGGATTGTACACAATGAAGTCCTGAGCTAACTATTTGGGAATGTCTACAGCACAAAGGGCAGCCAACACATCACTCTTTTACTGCCTGGATTTAATAAATCATATTTTAACTTCACAGTAGAATTCATATACTTCTTGCATCCTGAGGGAAATTGCTGCTTATCACCTCTACATGACACATCAAACCCATATATTTTTATTGTGATAAACTCTGAGAGATTTTCTTATATGCTACTTTTGAGCATTGGTATATATTTAGCATGAGTGATCTTGTCTACTTGAAAGAAAAACTAGTATTAATCGATGTCTTCACATTTTTACAAAGGTTTTTATCATTAAATTAAGATGTTTGTATTGTGGTGGTAGTGCACTAGAACAGGCATGGAGGCAATTTTGGAATATGTCATAAAAGCAAGTTCAAAATAGAAAACTGAAAAACATTATTTTAAATTAGTACTTTGTATTACATAGAAAATGTTTACTGGGGGGACAGTAGGAGTCTTGTGGTCTGAGACCACCTGTAGGAACACAGGTACTGAGAGTGAGACAATCATTCAGTACAATGATTTTTATCCCTGAAGAATGTCAAAGTACAAGAGAATGGCCCAAAAAAAGAGGAAAATTAAATGTAGTCCACATAAGCTTAATTACCACTATGCGACACTAACAGTTTTCACACGCCCAAGTCCACTACTTTTGTACCTAAAAACTGGATCTGATATTTTAACAAAGAAAAAAATTATTAAAGAATTTAAATTGTCTGTGCTCTGGCTGAATAAATGAAACCTCAGCTTCTAATGTACCGTTGGGAGATACACTGTTTAAAGAATATTCAGAATACACTGTTCAACAGCACCTTACCCTGGTACAGCCAGATAATGTTCCAAATTTGTCTTGATAAGGTGGTTCATCTCCATCCCTGTCTGAAGCTGGAATACACAATAGCTTTTGCTATGAAGAGATTTGAAAGCGTTTGGGAGCAGAGGATTAATACAGTTTTAATTCAGTTTAATACAGATTTAATTCAGTTTTTTAATCCATTTTTTTCTTTAAAATTAATAGCTAAAGGGTACCTGAGAGGAGCATATTCAACTTCTTGTGAAATTCTAAACAACTTTCATTATTCTGTACCTCTCAAAATCACATTTTTATTTTTTTCTGAAGTACCACATGGAAAATCATAGTTTTCCAATATGAAAATTACAAGAGTTTGACTAGTGCATCAGTTGATACTCTCTCAAGAAGACAGAAGTTTTGATTCATAGTTCAGTCTCAGGAAGGTGAAAAGATTTTCATGGTTATCTATACATGACATTGAGGGACAAAAAAGTTTTTCTTCTTCTTTCTATGCACAGAAATAGGCAGAGGTGACAGATTTCAGGAAGGGATGGTTAAAATACTGAGAATATTGACTGAATTTCTTCTCCCATGCAGTCACATGCACAGCTTGGAGGAATGGGGCATGAAGCAAATTAATCCCCCACTGCAAAAAGAAGGAAAGAAAAATGTGTTTCTGCAGCAGCACAGCTATGCTGCAGCCTTCGAATAAGACTTGTAATAAATTCAGAATCCCTCTCACAAAGTTTTAAGATCTGATCTTTATCCTTCACTGGAATATCAGTGTCTAGCCCAGAGTAAAATAATGAAACTTCTTTCAAACCAACTGCCAGAGCTGGACCTTCCATTCTGTAACTACTTAAGATAAGGTTAGTTGCTGTCCTAGAATAATCATATGTCTCAGAAATACAGATCCTCAGCTAGTCACCTTCTCATCCCACAGTCTGAAAGATGTGAGGTTACCCATGAGGAGGAGTTATCCAATAACCATAAAGCAGGACTGTGAGAATGTAAGAAAAATGTAAAGAAGGGAAAGAGAGAAAGATATATAAAAACTATTCTTACTTCTAAATCTCAGAAAGTATCTTAAGGTGAAGCTGCAAGTTGTGCTGTATTAGATCAAAATTTTCAATAAATCTAAAGAAGCTCAAATCTGCCAGCATGAGTTGATCATGAACTTGAATATTCTAGATGTGCCATGGGCTCAAATTCTGCAGTTTTTTCCCAGCTCTGCTTCAGTCTTGCTTGGGTGACTCAGTTCTCCATACTGATAAACCCTTCTGCTAATGAAAGCATCCTAAATGAAACAGTGTATTTTATCAGGCAAACTTGGATTTTAAACAGTTTATGTGAGTTGGAAAGCATATGGTGGTAAAATGACAACCACTTTTCTACCTGCAACACAGGTGAGCAGATGGGGCAAAGAGGTGGTGAATTTGGGGCTAGTATTGTGAACTAGAGGTGAAAGACTTCCATTTTAGGGTCATTTCTCAACTGTGGTAACTGCGATATTATAAATATTATGCGCATTTAGCGACCTGACCATCAATGATCTTGACTGTAAAATGGCAATAGTAACACCTACTTCACAAGCTGTGCTACAAATAGGGGGGAAAGGGGCTGGGGGACGGGGTGTCTGTGGAGAAAAGTATTTTACAAATGCCGAGTACTATTTTTACCTTCCTAGTCAGAGACATAGAACAGCTGCACAGTGGAAAAAAAAATAAAAAAAAAAAAAAGAAGGGGAAGAATTGGTTTAAGCTGAAACACAACAGCCAAGAAATGTCTCGCCAGGAAATCACCAAGGCATTTAGCCTGTTGCTGACAGCTCATCCAAGGCAGAGCAATATCCCAAGACAACCCTGCTTTGCCAAAAAAAAAAAAAAGTTTTGCATTTTTAAGAGCAAATTACTGTTTGGTTTTTTTGTTTTTTACTTTGTGTAACTTTATTTAATGTATTTTTTAATATTTTCCATAAAATTTTATACAATTTTACTTTTTAGTTGTTGTTCTTATGACTTCACCCTGTGGTAAAAAAAAAGGTTTATGCTGTAACTCCAAGTCTTCACCATCAACAGGTCTCAGAGGCACCCTCAGAGAGCTCTAGAGCTCGGCAAAGGAACTCACGAGGACGTGTTTTCGTTCGGATACCGGCTGCGTTTCGGGTTTTTAAGTGGCACTGCGCGATTTACAGCGGTGCAGAGGGGATGGACAGCAGCGCGGAGCCCGGCGCCGGTGTCCCTGATGGGACGGGAAGGCACGGAGAGAGCGAGGTGCCCAAGCGTGGCTTCCACCCTGGCACGGGGACCGACAAGGACCTGCGAGGCGAGGCGGTGCCGGGGCCCACCCTGTCCCTTGCTCCCGGCTTGGAGAAAGCACAGGCACGCCAGCCAAACCGGCTCCCCCCTCCCGCTCCCCCGCCGCGGCCCCGCCCCGTTGCGAAGGAAGCGGCGTCCCCGGTTGCCACGATGCGGCGGGGCTGGGGCCGGGGCCCGGCACTGACCGCGGTCCCGGGGCGCTGGATGGAGCTCAGCGGGAAGGGCGGCGGGGCGGCGCGGGGGCAGCACCTCCCTGGCGCCCCGCGGGACAGCGCGGGAGGGAGGCGGAGCGCCCCTGGGTATCCTTCTGCGAGCCGTGCGGGGCCGGGGCCGGGGCCGGGGCCTCGGGCGGGCTCTCGGGGTCGGCTGCGCTGCGTGGGGCCCGTGTGGGGCAGGGGCGGCGGTGGCCCAGCCCCCGCTCCTCGGTCAGGGACCGCCTCAGGGGTGGCCTTAAATTAAAACTTACACTTCGTGGGTTTTACACTGCTGTGGGAAATTCAAATTCTCAGGCAGCTTCGGAGTTTTCTTGTTTTCGTTCTTCTACGAGGCTCTGCTACTGGGAACTGTGTTTTCCATCCCAAGTGCTACTTAAATCAGTCTTGCCTCCTGCCACTAATGATTTGTCTCCGTGGAGAGCTTTTATGCAGTAATGTTGATCAATTTCAATGTAAACAACTACTACTTTAGATGTGTGGAGGGGGTGTTTTTGCTCTTGAATCATTTTCCCTGTGGTACATGTGTCCGTATGTTACAGATTTAGATAACTACAGAAATATGTCCCTACAAATGAACATGATAAAGGTGAGATTTTTTTCAGCTGGTGATCATCATGAAAGATGAGTGGAAAGCTTCTCTTAAAATCCCTTTAAACAGTAATATGCAATTACATTCTTTTCTGGATAAGCATAAAGTTAGTTATGTTATAACATACAATTATGGGACCAACTATTGTATCCTTAGTCAAAAAAGGCATATTAGCATTTTGTATCTCATCAATAAAGTTTGCCCTTTCCCGAAAAGGGGAAATATAAAAATCAGTCAAAAATTTAAAGTCAATCAAACAGGCTGTTCAATCCAGTTTCTGTTGTCCTCAACACAATACTAGGGATAGAGCTTTAAAATTTCATTTTGAACAGGATTTAGAAGAAGAACGTCGGACATTGAAAGAGGATCAGAAATTACATCGGAGTAAGGCACAAAAATATTTGATAGAGACAAACAGAAGAAGAAGGTAACTAACTAAGGTTCCTTTGGTAGAAGATTTAAAAAAAAAGTCAAAACCTTGAGATAGCTCAATATATCTCTACTATTTGCATGTTCACCTTGGTCTAGCAGAGTCTAGGATAAAAAGTTTCATAAATCCAGTTTCTTGCTATAGGACAAATAAAATGTAGAAAGAACAATATTCTGATTTACTCACTAATTTTTGGAAACTCACTGTAGTCACCTCTTATTGTATAAAGTAAAAGTAAGTAGCACGTCCGTCTTGTGGCTCTGATCTGCATTTCTAGTATTATTCTGGTTTTTATTAGCTTCAGTGGATGTGTGAAAAATGCACTCAGCTGTACAGAAAGGACCAGGAAGCTGGAAACTCTTGTTTCCTTCTGAAGTGTATGCTTTTCTGTCTGCACAGCATAACAGCTGCACAGCCTCCCCTTCGTTGTGGGGCTTTGTGCTCCCGCTTCCCAATAAACACAGAGCAACATCTTTCTAGTACAGGATTATATTTATAATAAAGTTATTCTGTACTGACATTTTAAACAGACCTTTGAATAGTCTGTATTTCTGCATACATGAGAATGCAAAGCCATGAAATATTCTGTGACAAATGGATTAAGTAAATCAGACGCTGAAATGTTTCAGTGAAGTGCTGTAAGTAGTTTTAATAGATTTTTTCCCTCACACTGGACTTGTGCTCACACGTACAGGAGACTTGCCTGTGTATTCGGTAGAGGCAGATGGGTTCCTCCTTACCAGTCCCCAGTCTCAGAGCAGCGTCCTCTGCCTCATGTTAACTCATTAACACTCATCCCCCACACTTCCTGTGTCCAATGATTTCTGTTGTACAATGTTTACTTATTGACATATGTTCATAACTCCTAAGAGAGGTGGTATATATTTTTTATACTGCCATTTTAGCTTGACAGTATATGCTGTCAACACATGTTTTGAAATATAAAGAAAAGTGGAAGAGGAAATATAATCACCTGGGAGAGATTAAAGACTGTGCGACTCACAACCTTTGCAGACAATAAACTGAGTCTCAGTTGAAAAATTAAATATCTAATTTAATTTTCTGGAACAGTACCACTGAAACACTACACATCTCAGATGAACACTGTTTATTGTATTACTGGTCTTGAAATATTATACTCTAATGTAAAAGCAAATACCAGACAGCCTGCATAGTTTTGACAGACTGGTGTAGTTAAGCTAATAGTCATTGATACATAAATACATTTCCATATGTATGTCATTGCAACCTTAAGAAACACTGTATAAATCCAAGTTACTCAGGAGAGCCAGTTAAAAATTATAGGTATGGTATTCATAAAATGAAATTGTTTCAAATTGTGATAATTGAGAATGGCATAACTATTAGCATGATAAGCAGTTCAAATGGAAGTCTGGTGTGACAAGTCTGAGGAGTTAGCTATCTAATGTTAGAAAGGTATTAAGTGCATACAGTTTTAATAAGATGTGAAATATAATTAAAAATTAAGGGTCATTGCATATATGGAGGAATGTAGTTTGACAATAAAAGATTCCTTGAATCTGAATATTTTTCCCAGACAGTTTTGCAGGTAGGAATTGATTAATCAACCACCAGGTCATGTCTCAAATCTGTGTATGAGCCAAGAACCATTAGCTTTGTTACACATGTAAAGGTAAGGGCCTGTTGTTGGCTCCTGTTGTACTTGTTGTCCAGCAGGGCCCCCAAGTCTGGGGTTGTTCCTCCCCAAGTGCAGGACTTTGCACTTCCTCTTGTTCAACTTCATGAGGTTTCTGTCAGCACATTTCTCCAGCCTGTAGAGGTCCTTATGAATGCCAGCAGAACTCTCTGGTATATCAATCCTTCCAGTTTGGTGTCATCTGCAAACTTACTACAAGTACACTCTGTCCCATCATCCAGATAATTTTTGGTCAACACCTGGCTGAACATGAGCCAGCAGTGTGCCCAAGTGGCCAAGAAGGCCAAAGGCGTCCTGGGCAGTATCAGCAATAGTGTGTCCAGCAGGACTAGGGCAGTGATTGTCCTGCTGCATACAGCACTGATGAGGCTGCACCTCAAATCCTGTGTTCAGTTTTGGGCCCCTCACTACAAGAAAGACATTGAGGTGCGGGAGTGTGTCCAGAGAAGGGCAGTGAAGCTGGGGAAAGGGCTGGAGCTCAGGTCTTATAAGGAATGGCTGACAGAGCTCAGGGTGTTCAGCCTGGAGAAAAGGAGACTCAGGGGAGACTGCCTCTGTCTCTACAACTACCTGAAAGGAGGTTGTAACAGGGTGGGGTGTGGTCTCTTCTCCCAAGTAACAAGTGCTATAGGATGAGAGCAAATGGCCTCAAGTTGTGCCAGGGGAGGTTTAGGTTGGATACTAGGAAAATTTTCAGTGAAAAAGGTTGTCAAGCATTGGAACAGGCCGTTCAGGGAAGTAGTGGAGTCACTGTTCCTGATGATATTTAAAAGCTGTGTAGATGTGGCACTTAAAGTTATGGTTTAGTGGTGGACTTGGCAGTGCTGTGTTTTTTTGTTGGACTTGATGACTGTAAAGGTCTCTTCTAACGTAAATGATTCTGTGTTTCTATCTTTAATGAAGATGTTAAACAGGATTAGGCCCAGTGTTGACCTGTATTGTTCGACACTATGTACTGGCCTCCATTAAGACTGTTTCACTATCTATCATGTACTTGTAATGAATTTTCTAAATATACTTGTAATGCAATTTTCCCTGACAGTGTTATATTGATTTGTTGTCAATACCTCTAAAATGCAGCAGCTTCAGCATTAAAAATACTCAATTTCTACAAGATGTGCTCAGTTAATTGCTTTAATAGTAAAAGACAAAGACATCACTTGCTCGGAAAAGGGGTAGTATAGCTTTGGAAAGAAAAGTCTCATAACTTAAGTCACACCTTTTTCAGCCCATCTGATGCCATCTGTTTCTTTGCATCTCTTTTACTGACCAAGCTTCTTACTTTTGTGTTAACAACAATGCTTCAAAACAGAAAAAAAACCCCTAGCCTATGGATACGCTTTATATGAGTTGCCTGAGTATCAAGAAAGTAATTTCTTTATTGTCTCACTGATAGGTGAAGTTGCAATTTCAAGATCAGATTAAGAATTAAATATTCACTGGGGCAGTAGCTGACAGATATTTTGTTTAAATAACAATATTCTGGAAATAAGAGCTACTGACTAAACACATACTTGATGTAAATTAATAGGATATCGTATTTTGTGTTTATATGACTCACTGCTTTCTAAGTACCAGCTGTCAGTTTTGCTGGGGACTATAGACTTCCTGCTGTTATTGCTCAGTGCAAAATGTGCATCCCATTCTACTGGGATGTTACTGGCTGCAGGTAGTTTTTTCATTCTGGAAATGCAATTGTCTATGTGCATGTTAAAATAAACCTTACAGTCAGTTATCTTGGTTCAGCGTTTTGAATTACCTTGCAATAGCTTATCCATCTGTTGTTACCGGAGAAGGGAATGCTTTCCCAATTTATATCAGTTTCCAATCTATTCTCATTACTATTTTTTTCATAATACTTAGTTTTCAACATGTGCACAAGCTTTGTGCTCCACCTACTGGCTGATTAACATTGATTATTTAATAAAAGCTCTTTAAATTTTTCATCGGTGTTGTTGACAGAGAATGAAAAGCAGTCTAGAGCCGGAAATAAGAGAACAATGCTAGCACTTGGTAAACAAAGTGTTATACATTTTGTATTGCTTTCTATATCAGAATGAAACTATGAAA